AAAGTCTTATCTTGATTATATTTAAATGGTTAAAATGCATCTATCATTGCATTTGTAGACCAATTGAGTTATAAGAATGGATGCAGTGATTGCATTACTTTTGTTAAGGTGATATAGATACTGTCTGTAGTGCTGTAGGACAAGTAGCTTTTTCTCCCACTCATTGATCCGTTGCTAAGCATGGGTGTCGCCCATGTAGTAATTGCAGTCTAAAACAGGGCTCTGGAGGAGCATGAAAAAATGGCTGCACAAAAAAGTGCAGGAAAAACGGTTGTTACTGATATAACTGCAGTTCTGTAACTGAGTGTGATAAGGTTTATCGTCGATTGTGTAAGGTTATCAGGCTTTAGTCTGTGGTGTCTATGGTCAACCCTGGGCTCCACCTCTGAAACCCTGTGGCACATGATGGGTCGTACAATTTATTTTGAGCATTAGAACTTCATAAGCTATGAGTAATATATGTTAAAAAGAAATTGCAGGCACATTTAAAACATACAGATACAGAGTAAAACCCATTCTTGTTTTCCATCTACTAGATTCTAAATTTACAAACTTTTCAATTGACATGTTATACAGCAAAGCTACAGATGTAGTCTGGTTTTTAATATTTATTTTATTGATACCAGATGTCCTCTAGAGGTCATAGTTTCATCTGAAAGCTTTGAGTAAGACTGCATTTTTTTCAAGATTTGCATACATTTTATTAGAGGCGCATTAGTTCAGGGTGGCTGCGGTAAAGCAGGTCATCTACTAACTGGAAGGTTGGTTGTTCGGTTCATTGCTGCTCCAGTCTGCATGCCAAACTATACTTGGGCAAGACACTGAACCTGATGCTTTCCTTGAAGTGTTAATGTTAGATAGAAAGCAAGGTAGAAAAAAATGCTTGTGTTAATTGGTGAATGAGACATGTTGCATAAAGCCTGAATAGAGTAGATGACTGCTAAATGAGAACCAGTCCTTTTAACATAACCTTCATAAATATTTGCACTTGCTGTATACAAAGAAACTTGTTTGTAATATTATTAATTAATATTAATATTGATTTATTTGTTGTTGATTTTGTTTGTTTGTCCTCTAGATTGTGCGAACCTTTAAGATTGAGACAAGGAAAGCCTCAAAAGCTGTTGCCAGAAGAAAGGTCTGTCTTTAACTTAAATAAAAGTAAACCTTTTTCAACTTTATCCATGAACAAAATAGTAAACTCGGTGTCAAACATTATCCTGCACTCATTTCAGAACTGGAAGAAATTTGGTAACTCCGAGTATGATGCACCAGGTCCTAATGTTGCCACCACTACCGTCAGTGATGATGTCTTCATGACTTTCATCTCCAGCAAAGAGGTGAGAGTCTTGCTTTTTTTGTGTTGCTGCTTTTGTTTACTGTTCTAATTAAAAAAAAGAAAAAGAAAAGTTAACTATGGTGTAGCTTTGCATCTTTACTTGATATATCTTTTTCATTTTGTAGGATTTAAATGCCCAAGACCAGGATGAAGATCCGATGAACAAACTGAAAGGACAGAAGATCGTGTCTTGTCGTATTTGCAAAGGTGATCACTGGACTACACGCTGTCCGTACAAGGACACCCTGGGCCCAATGCAGAAGGAGCTGGCTGAACAGCTCGGGCTTTCTACTGGAGACAAGGAGAAGCCTGCTGGTTCAGGTATCATGAACATACCATTCATATAGTCAAATTTTTGCTCTCAGATGTTCTGTTGCAGTTTGGTGTTCCTAAAGTTATGACTAATGTTGCATGCTTTTCCTTTCACCAGCGGAGCCAGAGCCTGCGCAGCCTGCACAGAGCAAGACCGGGAAGTATGTTCCTCCGAGCCTGAGGGATGGAGGCACCAGAAGAGGGGAGTCCATGCAGCCTAACCGCAGAGGTCGGTGCACATTGTCTGCTTATACTATACACACCCGTTATTCTTTGAGAAATTGCCATAGGCATTATAAAACATGGATGTAACTTCCAGGTCAGAAAAATGAAGCCAGTGCAACAACGCAGCCATCTGGTGGCTTTCTATTGTGCTGCCACCAGATGGCGATAGAAATGCGGGGTTTCAAAAAGACTTCCAGTCCTATAGAAGTTTAGAGGGAAAGGCTTCCTTAGTTTATGGGCTCTCACTTATTTTGAGTCATACTGAATTTTTTTTATTTATTTATTTTTACTTTTTTGCAAGTCTTGGTAATGCTATGTTTCAAAAAGGAAGATGAAATTGCATGCTCAATGGCTAATGAGTTGTCAGTCAAAAGACATTACACTGAGCTTGCAGTGTTACAGTCACACCCAGCCTCCCATATTGCATCCAGTGGAAATGCTAAACTTCAGGGCTTCAAAACAGATCTTTAGAAACCAGTGGATGGTGTAATGGTATTATGGTTGATAATGCCTGCACAGCCTCAAGTATTGTTCAATAGAAACACTGTTTGTTTTTGACAGCTGATGACAATGCTACCATTCGTGTCACCAACCTGTCTGAGGACACCCGTGAGACAGACCTGCAGGAGCTCTTCAGACCATTTGGCTCAATCTCAAGGATCTATTTGGCCAAGGACAAGAACACGGGACAGTCGAAGGTCAGTTATAAAGCGAGCATTTAGCTTAATAAAGTGTCAGCAAGAATTTCTTAACAAACCTCTTTCCAAGACGGTGTAGCTGGCAAATTGACTACAATGTTTAGTTTTCTGTTCGTAAGAAAATACACAAACATGTTGTCTGTCAAGTGTTCCGGTGAAAGTGAAAATTGAGTGGTTGACTTTATTATTGTCGTTTTTGTATTGTTTTTTTAAGCAGCTGCTGAGTTTGGGTGTGTTTTCTTTTCCTTTTTAAAAACTGTTGACATTGAACTGAAACTGAGCATGGTTCAGTAATCTCATCTTGTTTCCAACAGGGATTTGCCTTTATCAGTTTCCACCGTCGGGAGGATGCAGCAAGAGCCATCGCAGGAGTGTCAGGATTTGGATATGATCATCTTATTCTCAATGTTGAATGGGCCAAGTGAGTTCAGTCTGTCAGTTTTGTCAATGTACTTGTCATAATGTTGTGTAATCTTGTTTCTGACTAAATTTCACTCTCTTTGCAGACCGTCAAACAACTGAGGAATTCAGTGTAAATCCGAGGAAGATTCCATATTTTATTGTCATGGTAAAATATGGCTGTTACCGTAATAAAGAGAGTAGTTGTAAATGTCTTTGTCATTGTTTCTTTCCTTTAATGCATTTTCTGTCTAGGCTTTTATCCTGAATTAAACCTTTACGTCTTCGACATTAGACAAACACTATATACATTGATTTTCTTGATTTGGAGACGTAAACAGAAAAGAGGAAAGAAGTTCATCACAAAATCATAATTAGCAAAAGTGTTAGCTGGCTTTACAAGACCTAAACAATTAGACAGATAATGACCATCATGACACTTATTATCAACTTTATTTTTAATTTAATGTGTGCACACTTGTAAAACTGGATTTCAGATCCAAAATAAATTGAGAAAAGACAACATGTGGCAAGTGAGCAATGCTGCAAAAAATTACTAATCTTGTTTTCAGGAGATCATACCTAAAAACCAGTGTGCATTAGTGAGGACATAGTAATACTGATAATGCACAGTACTAATAGTACACAGTGAATCTCTGTGATCTCGACAAATGAAGCCTGTATTTAAAAAGAACAACATTTTTATTGACTAATTATAATGGTGTCAAAAAAGCAAAACACTAAAATGTTGAAAGAAAACAATACAGACATCACAATTGATAAGTACAATCATGTTTCTATAAAAACTAAATCAAAAAGTATACAAATTGCTAAAATGAAACATGCTATTTGAATGTTACTAGTCCTCATGTTTTTAATAAATTTAAGAATGTAGCTGAGAAACTTTGAGGATTTTAACCTGGCACAGCAAATTTTTTGACTTTAAAACTACATTCTCTCTCAGCTTTTATATTTGTAACAAATCAATGCCCCAAAAAAGATAACAGCAAGTACAGCGAGTACAGTGATCCCAGCAATGACCCCGGAACCAATACCTAAAAAAGAATTTAAAAAGTTCATAGATGATAAAATATAACAAGATGGGAAATGTAGTGAATTAACTGATGAGAACTTACCTGGAGGTTTGTTGACTGTGAAGT